CAGTGCACACCAGCACAGCAAACAAAGGTGGCCGCTGGGCACGTCACCATCAACAGCAGCAGCAATTGTTGCGGGCAAACTGTGGACTTCCCTTGAAGCTGTCTGTCCCCCCTCTGTGGACACCTCACTTGTCGACCACAAGTGTCACAACAAGCCAAAGCGAGCTGTTGAGCTCCACAAATTGGCAACTGCTGCTGCCTTCAGTGCTGATCAGCTGTGCTTCGGTGGCCAAGTGAGCCCTCATAACTGAAATTCTTGGCCAGTAAAGTCACCAGCACTAGCACAGTACAACACAACACACACACACTCATGTGACAGCTCAATTTGTTTGCACAATGCTCTTGGTGTGTGTGTGTGTGTTTGTTGACGGCGCAAAAAAGAAAAGAGAGAGAGAGAGCACAAAATCTAAGATCAATCTGCCCACCATTAAAGTGCAATGGCCAGTGTTTAACAGCAGCAGAACACTGCCAGCCCCTACGCTAAGTCGCTGGCGGTGCAGCTCTCTTGTTGGTGGTGGTGTCGTTGCTGCTAATCTTGTCAGCAGCAGCAACAGCCAAACTCCACTGCCGCTGCTGTCAACAGGATAAAACAGTGCAGCACAATCCACTGATCGTCAGCAAAACGGAGTTCTCAGGGACACCACCACCACCAAACTGTGGTGATCAATAACGCACACACACACAAAACAGACATACAACTACACACACACAAATAACACGCAAATACAAACATGCTACAAACATACTCACAGAAATCACTCGAGCTCTTCTGATTGACAGTGCTGTATTTCCTTGTGAGGTAGCTCTAAAATTAAATTTTTTCTTTTCAAACAAAAAGGTACATTTCAAACTAAAAGTGGCGCAGTTTAGCCTTAAATTCATGGTCAGAAACACAATATTGACACTCTTTAGAGCTGAATAAACTTGTTAGCAACAAAAGGTCAATGCTGTCGGTGATGCTGTTTTCGCGGAACAGCTCTGACGGAAGCAAAAAGATCTAGTTGATTCTGCCAACAGTAAACACAGTTCTGAACTTTGGTCTGAAGGCAAATGAGATTACAATACTACTTACATTAGAGTCTATGGATGATCTCGTCTTGATCTGGTGTGTTTGAGCAGTCCGCCAGTTTATGCACTTGATAAACTTTAATGATGACTGTGCTCAGTGGTGATGAACATTTCTGCAGCAATGTAAAGAAAATTAAAAAAAGATTAGCGGAAATAAGTGTTAGACCGAAATGACGTGCACTCCAATCAGCTGTAATCTACCACGCATTACAAACTCCTCAGCCAAAGTAGATTCTTTTAATCAGCCGACACATGTGAGGAACAAATGTTGCCGAGAGATCGTACACACAGACAAAAGAAGGGACTAGAAACGGCAACAGTAGAGTACCAAAATAAACCCAAAAACAGGCGTCATCACTTGCAATCACCCCCTACAATCATCAACATCATCAGCCCAATCAAACCTAATGACGATGATGAAGGGAATAGTAAGAGTAAAAGCAAACAGTGGAAGCAAGCACGACCGATTTCAGGTAGTTACAAATAGTAGTAGTAGCAGTTTGAAATCTTCAACTGATTACGCCACTACTGTGTCCAAACGACATCATCATGATCATCCAACGACAACATTGCATGTCCCATGTGACGTAACCGTGAAAAACAAAACACACAAACTTCCTCCTACGTCCTGTTTTTATTTAGAGTCATGATAGATGTATTTTTAGGCACTCTAAACAAAAGTTCAGCTAAGAGGTAGTCGCTGCTGCACTTACAAGAGGTAAAATCACTTTCAAACACACACACACACACACAAATATTACACAGCACACGCAAATCGTCGTCAATCGCCGACGCACCTTGGTCGATATATTTACACTTTCACAGACATTGACGCTGGGACATCTTCATTTGCACTTTTTCTTCCTCCTCTTTTCTCTCTGCGTGAATAATGGGCTCGTGTTTCTTTTGACACCGCCGTCAGCAAAAGTAAAAGTTCAGTGTTCAGAGTGCGGCTAAAAAACAGGCATGTAATTTCTCTCCGTTTCTTGTTGCGTGTGTTCAATTTTCACACTGTGTTTGCAGAAAAATTGTCTCGCAGCTGGAGACAGAACAGGGCGACCAGGGCGGCGGAAAAAAATGAGCGCAGGTGACCTGCGACTTCTTCTTCGCTTTCACACAAGTGCGCGTGGCCACACATTTCACAGAAANATTTCTCTCCGTTTCTTGTTGCGTGTGTTCAATTTTCACACTGTGTTTGCAGAAAAATTGTCTCGCAGCTGGAGACAGAACAGGGCGACCAGGGCGGCGGAAAAAAATGAGCGCAGGTGACCTGCGACTTCTTCTTCGCTTTCACACAAGTGCGCGTGGCCACACATTTCACAGAAAGATTCACACAACAGGCAGGCAGGCTAACACGATTAAAGCTGATCTTCCTTTTTAAGGCTTTTTACTGCTTTTTTATCTTTGACCGAAAACTGTCTTTCTTTTCTTTGACTTGTTTTTTGGCTTTTGCTGCTTTTTCATTGAGAAAGATAGATTTTCCAAGATTTTAGCTGGTGGTGGTAGTGGCAGGGTTCGGCAACAGTATCGTCTCATTAGGTGTTCTTCGCTTTTTCTCTCTCGACAATCTGCACAACAACAAACACAACGACAGCAGAAGGACAAAACAAGACGAGCTAACAAGTGAACACACAGTTTACTGCCACCAGTTTGGAGAGGGGAGTTCAGCACTAATTAATAAAAGGCAATCTGCCGAACAACAAGAAAGCCTGGAAAACACACAGCTCAGGTGGTGCAAATATGTTTTTGATTGCCTAACCACAACATGCCCGGCGATCAGTGGACAAATAGAAGTGGGGAGTAGTAGCAACTACAGAAAGAGATAGGCTTTGTCCCTCTGTGGAGGACAGAAACACCAGCAGGCAGTAATCACCACCAATTAGCGCAGCACAACAACTCTTCTTAATTTACGACAACTGTGCCAAATTAGTCAGTCGAACCACTGTGGTGGTGGTGGTTATGGGGCAATGGCAAATTAGCGACGCTAGGAACGCTCTCAGGAGACAAAGTGCGGACCCCATCATAATAACCTTCTTCTTCTCATCATCACCACCATTTGCTGACCACCACCACCACCACCAACACAAAGAACCTGCTGTGCAAATTTGCCAACAGCCAATACAGCAGTCTATAGACAATCACACACACAATCATAACCACACACTAATTGCCGACGAACACACATTGGTAGGCACACACACATTTCTGTGCTCAGCGCGGCTAAATGCCACTGCACACACAGTCCAGCACACTACAGTTCGACAATCAAATCATCTATCAGCGAATGTGTCCGAGTTGGCAAACGAGCATGCAGCTACTGCTACTACCGCCATTGCTCGCCTACACACCCATCAATGATCGTGTGGTTGTATAAACACAATACCTGACACAACCTGTGCTTGTGTAATTCAAGTGTGCAGCACATGAGGAGAGGAGAGATCAGTACGCCTACGCTGTGGTACACGAATGAGAGAGAGAGAGAGAGAGNGTGGTTGTATAAACACAATACCTGACACAACCTGTGCTTGTGTAATTCAAGTGTGCAGCACATGAGGAGAGGAGAGATCAGTACGCCTACGCTGTGGTACACGAATGAGAGAGAGAGAGAGAGAGAGAGAGAGAACAGAACAATTTGCAATCGCAGCAAGTGCCAACCTGGCTTTACCTACCGCAGAGTGCTTCTGATGATGCTGTTCACTTACTCATCCTCATCATCCTCTTCAGCATCTTCTGCTCAACTGCTACTTTCTATTAGCATCACACAAGCCAACAGACAAACAGAGAGTTTAAAAGATTAGTGCTTGTCTACTGTGTTCAGCACAACGTTTACCTTTATTAATCTGAAATAAAAATAGTCCAACACAGCAACTTATTAATCCATTTCCTCTTCTTCTTCTTCACAGTTAACCATGCCAAGCGCTTCGACGCCCTCCTCAACGAGCTCGACGAGCATCAGCGCAGCGACGGCGGCCATGGTGCCCTCTGCGGCCAATTCGGGTTCTTCATCCTCTTCCTCCGCCTCATCCTCCGCTTCAGTCAGTCAGGCAAACTCGCCCAGCGAAGTGCCACCGCCCATTGCCCCTCCATCTGCCGTCGCACCCACATCTTCATCATCGGCGGCTGCAGCAGCTTCAGCAGCCTCGGCAACTTCAGCACCTTCAGGCAGCAACAGCAGCGCCACCACCACCACTACCACCACAATGAGCCAACCACCGCCCAGAACCTCTTCCGGTTCCGGCGGCAGTGGCGCTCCCTGCTGCGAAACGGGCCGCCCCATCATGACGGACCCGACCACCGGACAGACCATCTGCAGCTGCCAGTACGACGCCCACATTCTCAACTACCAGCGCCTGGTGGCCGCCGCCGGCCTGTCGCCCTTCATGTACCCGGCAGCGGCGGCTGCAGCGGCTGCCGCCGCCTACGGCGCCACCGGCGGAACGCCCGGCGCCACGACGCCCAACGGCAGCACCACAGGCGGAACTGGAGGACCATCAACTGGAGCGACAGCAGGCGGACTTCCGGTGCCTCCTCCTCCGCCGCCGCCAGGCAGCGCTGGTCCACCACCTCCTCCTCCTCCGGGCGCCATTCCCGGCCTCACCGACGGCACCGCCGCCTTTCTTCAGCTGACGCCCGAGCAGATGCAGGCGAGTGCGCCCTTTTTCCCACCACCGGTAAGTGTCCTGTTTGTCCTTGAATATTTTTCAGTGCCCTTTTGTGAATGAGAGCGACACGATGAATAGCGTGCTTGTGAATCATCAAATTGTGGCCAACGCTCAGCGCTCAGCTCAGCTTTTAGATCATTGGCCGGTGAAGCATCAGTCGTTTTCTTTCCCTTCTTCCTCTTCTTCTTCGACCCCTCATCCTTATCACCACCACACCGTCGCCGTGTCCTTCTCGACCTCGTCCTCTTTTTGCCGTCTTCTTCTCTTGCAAGAGCAGTGTGCCGCCACAGCACAGGTGTACCCCCTCCGAAACATCATCATCGCTTCAGGCA